ACGAATGTGGACAGAGAAAATCTGGGCTATATGATAAGGATTACAAATCTGGTAAAAAAAAGAAACCTCAATCCTAATGAATGCTTTATTCAAATAGTGCTTGAGGAGGCTGGTTTGCAAAAAACAGGAGCCCCTGTGAGAGCTCTTATGATCTCTGAACTAAAGTGTTGAAAGTATCATGACAGAAGTCGCAACAGCGAATGCACACAAAGCAGCCCTATGAGAACACGCTAACCCAATGTGCATCGTAACTGTTATTCGTCTCACTACCCAGGGAAAAAAGCGAAATGATCACTACAATACCCATATTGCTCTCACCTTAATTTGCTTCTATGTATTATATCAGAAACTAACATGTTTCACAACAATATACCCCGAATTCTTTTCGAATGCGCTAAATATTCACTCATTTGTTGTGGAATTTGAAGAATGGCCGTCATTTGCAATCAGCACTTCGCCGCGATATCGATTATGCAAGGGCAAACTTTCAAAATGATTACCAATTGAAACAATTCACGATGACTCCGAAAAAGGTTCGAGGAGTTGCGTGAAGCATAATCAGGATTGAAGTAAGATTAACAATATGGAATATAAGCGACTCAACTAAATAGAGAAATTGCGCCAAACTCGATATGAGAGCTGAATCAGTTTGTCTGCTAGCGCGCAGGTTGCCACACAAAGTCAGAAGGGAGCATTTGCGGATGCAAATTCAATAGTGGATATAGGCAAAACAATGCGAGTGAGAGCATGGGCGCTGGGGCACAGCAAGCTAGTGGACAACCCTACGACTTATACCACACAACAGATTCAAGTCGGCAGACGAACACATCCTGCCGTCAATCGCTGCTAGCGGTTTTCGCCGCATTACGATGAGAACGGCAACAAATCTCGGCTAAGAAAAGACGCGTACTATGGCAACGAGCCTGCATAGTACATCAAATTGAAAAAACAGACGAATGACAGCCAACTGCACAAGAAAGCACTCACCTAGAAGTGAATCGAATTTCAATAGCGTCTGGCTCGAGGATTATCTCTTCAATATGGATAGAGCGATGGGTGATGCGTAGTACACTTGTGCTCTCAGTTTCGAAAAATCCAAACTTCAACGAGTCTGAAAACTCATTTTCAATGAAGTAGATAAGATCTATCAAGTGAGGTCACATATTATGTATTAATCAAAATAAAAAAGGAAAACATCAACTTGGCGAAGTGGCATCAATCAAACACAACATGTCAACTCGCTCAAACTGCCACCCACCCCATGCTTTAAACCTCATATCATTATCTGCGGTAAACTGGCCAGATGAGTCAGCAAAGGGGTTCAAAATAGTATCCAAGAAAGAAATTCTGATAAACACACACAGCACACAATGTGCTCAACATAAATCTTATGACTAATCATACTTCCTTATTAGCCTGACCCTGATATATGCAGCTGAAACCCTACGAACAAACTATTACCCACCAATTAGCCCTTTCAAAAAAGGAAAAAAGTATCAGAGCAGGAACATTGCAGATTTAGACATGATGAAATTACGTAATCGCTCTTGCGGACGAAATTTGCTGGGAATTCACAAAAACCACCTAAACGGAAAGGAATATTTTTTGTGGAACACCAATGTTTTCGCGAACATGATCCCCTTCCTGAGTTTAGCGTCATATTAGGAACGACAATATAGACAGCAAAGAGTACACTATGAGAGAGAAGTTTGAGGGAGCATGGGGAGCATAACGAAGAGGCCCACGATCGCGGCTGCCTTGTAGACAGGTGGATCACTGAGTAGACCAGTATGGAGGATTAATCAAGTCATGGCTTCATCTATTCATCACAGCAGTCTTGATGGAGGCAATAGCACCGATAATGGGAAAACTGGAAAAACTAAAAGTTTACGGAATCGCTGTGCATTGTACAGCCAACCCTGTTTCCATCTCAACTTCTGTGTCCGTTGTTTCGCGCATCAGCGATCCATTTATAAAACTAGAAGAATCATAGTCTCGTTAAGGAATCAACACCTGTCTCCGCCTTCACATAGTACTGGGCATGAATCTGATATTAATAGCGAGAAAAGAGTCCCAAAAGTGCAAAACAAGGCCTCTTGTACATGCTTACTGCCCTAACCAGACCAAGTTCACTCCCCAAGTGCATATGTTCACATCTTTAGCTGGATACGATAGGCCCGGGGCCCCAGCATAACCTTCCCCTTCCCAAGACCGTCAGGATTTGAACTAAGAAGAGTGGAGAATAAGTGACCGATTTAGCGATTGCTATGGAGTAATGACAGAAGCTTCCCCCTGAGAACTGAACAAACTGATTTAGTTACATACACACGATCAAATGCTGAAAATGAATGTCAAATTATGAACAAAAACCCAGAAAAAGCGATAAAACAAACGCGTGGGACAGCTACGCGCTGAGAGTGCAGATCTAGTTCAGAAAACGGAGAGCGGTCCAAATAGTTCAATTTCAAAACAGAAAGTAGGCGTTCTTGTGCCAGCAAGGCGCGGCATTCATGCATAAGACCGATCTTTGGTTGAGACGTCACATGCACAAAACAACTTAGAGCCCATAAAACTAGGAATGAACGGCGAACAAACGAGATTCTTGAGAATTCAAGAATCATTTGTAAATGGAAAGAGAATCGATGAAATGAATGTCTATGTAGTCCTGTATGCGCTTTGAGGCATCGCCTGAGGCGGCCTGTCCGCAGTAATAACGAAGTCTACGCTCCTACAGCTGTACAGGCATCGATAAATCGCATTAAGCCATCTGCGAAAAGAATGACCGTAGAATTCCCCCGAGCAGGAACAACGGCGCCCAACCACAAGTGTTTACAAAACATGCCAACATAAAATGCCAAAGTCACGTTCGAGCAGAGGTAAAGTGGGCGTTGATGACTCATTCTAAGCCCTGACAATTTAACATTGTAAAAGAGATGAAATAAATAGGAGAGCGGAAATTTCGCACTCTCGCATCTAAGAAATGCAACAAAGAAGTGAGTAAGACGATTTTATAATGGAGAAAAAACACTTTCAACTGAACTATTCGATACGCCAACTGGACATCCTTCTGTCCTGAATAAAATAATGCACACCTAATAGGCGGTCACACGGGAGTTTCCGATTGCGCGCAGCTATGAGTGACAGAGCGTGAGAGTCAGAGCAGAGCGTGAGCATGAAGCTCAGATAGAGACGCAGAAATCGGCAAGGAGAAGCAGTGTGTATGTTGACAGAGACAATCGAAAACGAAGGTGATCCAGTCCTCGACTTTCGCAGTCAACAGAAAATCCCTTGTGAAACTTTGGGAGCAACTTATCGATTAGATGTTGATCAGAGTTCACTAAAGGCGCACCGTTGAAAGAGCGTGGCTGTCATGCAGGGTGGCGCGTACCGCGCCCCGATCGCCCGCCAGTGCGAGCCCCCATCGGCACCGGGCGCTGGACCGGCTGCGGGCGAGCCCACAGGCGAGGGCGCCGCGAGACGCGCTGCGTCGATGCGGCTGGCCCTCGAGAGGGCTCGCCCGACCGCCGCAGCCCGGCCGCAGGCGCGCGCCCTCCGGCCGGCCGGCGGCGCGCCGAAGGTTGCCTATTGAGGTAATGAGTCAGTGCGCACGTCTGACTGTCACACGCGGGCTAGCCTATCGACGGAAATCCAAACAGTGAAAGTGGCTACAGCAACACTGCGCATAAAGACCCTCAGATAACGACTCATGAATGTCAGACATTCCAAAACGAGGGATTCTGTGATAAATATAGTGAACATCCACCAGGGAACATCATTAGGTAGAGAGAATGTGCAGTATCCAGATAGGTTTGGAAATTATGTAGGGATGGAATAAAAATAAAATGCTCGGAAAATTCCAGGCTAACATGATGTCCGGAAATCAGATAACAGCCACATCACTTCAACTCTACTCAATATTGGCCACCACTTCCAAGCTTCTACTCCCACTCTAAACTTCTCGCTCTCCTGAATCTGACAAAAATATAATCTCTTACTACTCTCAGATCCAAAAAACCTCATGCTACCTGATACTTCTTATACTTTTTATGAAATTTCAAACTCTAACATCGAGAAAAGTTGAACCAAAAAACCGAACTCATTACGAATTGAACTCGAAGGGAGGAATTCGGCAAAACTGACGTGTTGTGGTATTCACGAAAAAAGTGCAGTGCGCCCGCGCTTGCCTGACTTTCGAACAAATTAAGTGATAATGTAATATGTAATCAGTAGTGGAAAGACCGAAATGTTAGCTAGCCTGCAGAACAGAATGACTTCACTATTCACTACGCCGGATCCTCCTACCTTCTTCGAATCTCAGAAACCTAGCGGAACTTGATTCTTTATATTCACTCTTAGATTTCTACGTGTTTAAATTCTAAATGTTGCCCGCATTTACTTCCTAGCAAACAGGGATCGGCACTTATAAGGGCAAGTAGCACCATACATGACTCAAGAAGCACACATATTAGCTGCAATAAAGCTTTTTGAGGGAATAACTGACCATGAGTGCTGCTTGATAAGGCTACAATGAAAGTTGATATATGGTTCTGCCACCCAAAGTTTCGCTAAACTCGCTTTTTTAGAGAGTAAAAAAAACTTCATGATAAAGTTTAATGTATTTCTAAAACACCACACCCATCAAAAATGAATGTATTCTGAACGATGTGAACATAAAATTAATATGAAATGATTCGCTATGTTGAAACTCGATGTTTGTTTATAAAATACCAAAAGAAGTCATTCGAAACTATTTTACTCTAGTAGTTCACCAGTCTAAGCGACGGGATCTCTGACTCAATAAGCTCACTTTAGAAAATCGAAATAAAACGCGATTCGAACAGAACAGCGCAAATTTCATGATTGAGGGAAGGAATATCTACACCTATGGTAAGAACAGGATTCCGTAAAACTGGACTCAAGCTCGAAGCTCAAAAAAGTGACGAAGAAGGCGGGAGAGGGATAGGTATTGTTAACCATAGGGAAGTAGACTTTGTAACAAATTAAAGAAAATCTCGATCGATGATACAGAACTTGGCTACTAGGCACAGCCGTTCGGCCCGTGGAGAATCACTTCTGAGCACGACCTTCCCGGTTGCCACTGGCCTAACCTCATTCCACAGGGAAGCGTCCGTCTCTGTACCAATTTCACGTCTTTCGCGATTTTTATCCTGAAACCCTTGCTCAGTCAATTATTCCAAATCTATCAGCACATTGTATGAACTTTCTCATCAAGGAATTATTCATACTTCTCTCGAACCGCTTACCTCCCATTGCTTCTGGACGATTCGTGCCGCCTGGGATGTCACGCTGGCCACCTCGCCTTGTTCGCGGCATAATTCCTGAAAAATTACAGATTAAAATTAAATCAAATAATTACGAATTACAGAAAACAATCAGGTATTTGATAAGAATCAGCTCCTCGAGATCAATCCCTAAATTCTGAAAATGAGCAGGTGCGCTGCAAGCGAACACAGCTAAAAGCAGGTATAGCCGGGTAGTTATTTTCTTTTTTTTTCAAGATAACCCTTTTATTTCGACTACTCATGCATTATTTGATCCAATCAAACATATAATTTCCTAGGAAAGAAGGAAAAGTACAGTAGATGAAAAAGGGATTAGGGTCGCAGTAACGAGTAAATGGGCAACAAACAGGCGCGCAGTCGCGGAGCGTTTGAGCCACGCAAGTAGGGCATAGCTAACAAAATCCCCTCAATAGTGCCCCATTCATTTCTTAGTTAGCCTAATTTGCCACTGGATGTAACCTCAACCTCCAGCATAAGTAGTCCCAGAAATTTCGACCACAACATTAGTATTACTCAGGCTTTTTTGATGATTTTTCCCAATTCTGTACCAACACATACCTGTAGATCGAGGATTTGCCTTTCCTTATCCAGGATGACGTTGTTCAACTCAACAATTCTTTCGTCCTGTAAAAAATCTTTTCAGAAGCTATTCACTAGGCGAGAGTTATGGGGCCCTACCTTGAAGAGCATCTGCTGATGGATTCGATCCATGTCGAGCATCTGAGCTGCTCGTTTTCGTTCTTGAATTTCTACCGAACTCAGGGGTTGCGAGGCACGGAGTTGTTCTTCCATGTTCTTAAAAAATTCTATTACAGCTAAAAAATGGATTATACGAATCGAAATAGAGCAAGTGATGAAGTACATTAGACGGGGTTGAATCTAGGAGAATGGCGTGAGAGGAAGAGCTTGGGAGGGCAGGTCTCCAGAACCTGCTGCCAATGTGTCACAGACCAGTTGCATCTCTGCCATTTTCACCCCTTCGTTTCTTCGAGCTTAATCTTGCCTAGTTCTGTAAGGAGTGGATATAATAGGAGAATACCTATAGTTAGAAAGTGATTATACGGGGGGGGGGGACAAAAAAGGCATTTTGCCCATGTCGCACTTCGGCCCTTTTTTCTCGCAGGAATTGCCGTCGTTGACGGATCGTATAATTTGCTAAATGTATGCTTCTATAAATAGACGCAGGGCTCTCCTTCAACTGCCCTCACCGTCTTCAGAATATGACGTCATCTGTCATCGTCGTCAAGCTCAAGGAGGGCTACCGTAACTGCTTCAGCCTGAAGCTCTTACATAATTTCGTGAATCCGATTCAATGTTGGATAGTTTCCTAGAGACATTAGCTCCCAGCTATGCAAGCCCCCTCGAAACTCGCTTTTCCAGTAAAGGTCGTATGGTACACGATCTCTCAAAGCCCCGTTGAGCTCGACCACCAGTGCACCATGTTTCCGGGGCAAATTTTTCTGATGCCGTCCACGTAGGTGGCCACTATGAAGATTTCTATAAAATGGAATGTGTCTTTCAATTCTAAGTTGGAACCGTTCGGTTTGAGTTGAGTAGGAATGTGCTTAAATCCATCTGGAAGTGGAGGCAAAATGTCTTTTTTTGGCCCC